TTCACTCCAAAGATAACTACTGTTAAAAACTTTGTATGTTCTTCTACTCTTTTTTTAACCCCTACATGTATATATTTGTTATATTTAAATAAAAAGAAGACTGTATTAGCTATATAATTTTTTTAAATTTTATTTTATTATGTTATGTTAATCACCATACGTGACATCATTAGTTTTTGATGTAGTGTTCCATGATTCATTGTTTGTGTATGATACCCAGTGCTCCATGCAATATGTGCCCTCCTTAGTACCCATCACCAAGCTAACCCATCCCTCCACCCCCCTCCCCTCTAGAACCCTCAGTTTGTTTCTCAGAGTCCATAGTTTCTCATGGTTCGTCTCCCCCTCCGATTCCCCCCCTTCATTTTTCCCTACTATCTTTTTTTTTTTTTAACATATAATATTTGTTTCAGAGGTACAGGTCTGTGATTTCAACAGTCTTACACAATTCACAGCACTCACCATAGCACATACCCTCCCCAATGTCTATCACCCAGCCATCCCATCCCTCCCACCCCCCACCACTCCAGCAACCCTCTGTTTCCTGAGATTAAGAATTCCTCCCATCAGTGAGATCATGTGATACATGTCTTTCTCTGATTGACTTATTTCTTAACTATATGATTTTATATGTTGCTTTCTACATTTAAAGTCTGTTGTGAGCATCTTTCTATATTTTTGATTATCCTTTGCAGTGTGACTTTAAATGGCTGGAAGTATTTATGCTGACTTTGTTTTTCAACACATAGGATGTTCCTAACTGTTTCGCTATTACAGATAATACTGCTACTGAAAATCTGTGTATACAGAGGTAATTATTTTCCATAGGATAGATTATGGGAGGAGGTATACTGGGGCATAAACATGAATTGTTTTCCTAAGAGTTTTGGAACATAGTATCAATAAGTAGGCAGATTATGAGAGGCTTTGGGCCTCCACTTGGCTTCCTAGCCTCCCTTTTTATCTTGCTAATGTGGTAGAGGGAAAAGTGAACCCCTGTTACTTTCCTTTGTGTTTCTTTGATTACGAATAACTCGAACATGTTTTGTGTTTAATGGTCATTGTTCAATAACGGTATTGTGATTATCTCCCCATCCTTCTTCCTGTAGCCTGGAGGCAGCCATCTTCAACTCTTTAAACCGTATGTAGTAATTTCTTCTGGAAGGTAGAGTTCTGTATTTTTAAACAACATTCTTATAATGTTATTTCTTAAGTTTCAACTTTAGACATTTTCTGTTGAGTTCTTGCTGAGCGAAAATAAGGGTAAAGGTCTCTGGAGTGCCTGGGTGGCTCAGTGTTAGGAGTCTGCCTTCGGCTCGGGTCGTGATCCTGGGGTCCTGGGATCGAGTCCCATACCGGGCTCCCTGCTCCACAGGAAGCCTGCTTCTCCCTCCTCCACTCCCCCTGCTTGTGTTCCCTCTCTCACTGTGTCTGTCTCTGTCAAATAAATAAATAAAATCTTAAAAAAAAAAAGGTCTCTGATACACATATTCCCTTCCCTTTCCCATTGTCTTTCATCTCAGTGTTAAACCTTCATTTTTGCTTAGGTCAGTATTTGTATTCAGTATTTATATTTTTATAAGTATGCAAATATTACTCTGGTGGAGCCATGAAGTATACTGTATACTATTACCAATTTTTGTGATTTTTCTTGGTTATTTTTAGAATGTTCTTCTCCATCCTGAGTTCAGAGAAGGCATTTACTAGTATTTCCTTTTTGTTTGTTTGTCTTTGGTACTGTTATACTTCATTAAAATTGTAATTTTTCTTTTGGTAAATGGTGTAAGGATCTGTTTTTTGTTTGCTTTAATGGTGGACTGAATGTTTCAGTATCATATAATTTTTACTTTCCCCACTAATTTATGATGCCTTTAGAAAATTATATAGTAACTTTGTATCTATCAGAAATCTAAATCTCTCTTAATACAGTTTCACTTTTGCCTTTGAAAATTTTAATTAAGTTAACTTTCCAACTTCTTTTTCACTTAACCTTATTTAACCTGTGGAGGTCTCTGTCTCTAGTTTTACTTTGGAATGTCAGGGAGGAGGGTGGAAGACAGATGCAAGTGGCCTCCATGGTACAGTATTCCCATTTCCAAGGATTTCTGGAATAGATATATCCCTTGAAATCATTTTCCCTTAAAGGGGCAGTAGAGGGTCTTAGCTATCCCTATATGTCAGCCAGCCTGTTTCACTAACTTACGATCATTTTGTGAAACTGAGCGTTCTGAAAAGGGTTTATTTTAGCTGATTAGCTATTGTAATGATGTAAAAGTGCATTTGTCAGAGATCCTTGCTGTATTAAATTTGACACCCTTAGAAGAGTGGTTTCTTGTTGGGCATGCCTTGAGCTGTTGCCTATCACACTCAGGCCCCTACCCTGCCGCCTGTTTCCAGCTACCTCATTCTCCTTAAGTGTTGCTCAAAGATTTACACTGGGCTGTAAATTTCCTAAATTTACTTTTTTTTTTTTTTTTTTTTACTGGTTTCTAATTTCATTCCATTGTGTCAGAGAACATCGTTTGTATGATTTCAGTCCTTTTTCATTGATTGAGGCTTGCTTAATGGCTTAACCTATGTTCTGTCCTGAAAAATGTTCCATGTGTACTTGAGAAGAAGGTGTATTCTGCTGTTGTTGACTGGAGACATCTATAGATGTCGATTAGACCTAGCTTGTTTGTAATGCTGTTCAAGGCTTCTGTTTCTTGATCTTCTACTTGATTGTTATTGAAAGTATAATATTGAATTGTCTGTTCTTTCAATATTGCCCATTTTTCTTAACCTATTTTGAAGCCCTGTTGTTAGGTGCATATCTATTTATAATTGCTATGTTTTCTTCATTTATTGACCCTTTCATAATTATACAATGTCCTTTTTTTTCCCTAAGGAAAAATTTTAAGATTTATTTATTTGAGAGAGAGAGGGGGGGGTGGGGAGAGGAAGAGGGAGAGGGAGAGAGACTCTCAGACTCTACACTGACTGCAGAGTCTGACATGGGACTTGATCTCATGACCCTGAGATCATAACCTGAGCCAAAACCAAGAGTTGGACCAGACAGTTAACCGACTGCACCATCCAGGCACCCCTCTGGTAACAACTTTTATGTTAAAGTTTGTTTTCTGATATTAATGTAGCCATTACTGTTTGCATGATATGGCTTTTTCTATGATGTTAATGAATACTAGTCATAGTAAAGAGGCTTTGGGGGAATACTTCAGTATCTCCCCGTTAAACATGATGGGGGCTTACGCAGCTATTATGCTAAAGAAGTTTTATTAGGTATGGATTTTTAATTTTACCAAATATCTTTTCAGGTTTTATGGCGATACAATTTTTCTCCTTTAATCTTTCATATGATTAACTATAATAACCAATTTCCTAATATTTAACCAGCCTTGCTTTCTGAGTATGAATCCCACATGTTCATGGTATATTATTAATGAGTGACAGTCCTTTGAGTGTAAATTTTCCTGGCATATTTTAAAATTTCTGTCTTAATAAATATACCCCCAACATTTTATATACATGTCTATTCAGTAAAGAAGTGTTATTAGTAAGCTTATTCCCTGTTGCCAGTCCTTTTGTTATGCTTATATTAGGGGACCAGATTTTGTGTGTGTGCGTGCGTGCACGCGTGCGTGGATTGTGCATGGGCATGTTTGTGTGTGAGAGAGAGAAGGAGGGGGAGAAAGAGAGGGAGAGGGGAAGGGGGGGAAGAGAGTACAACATCATACAAGAGAGCTAAAACACCATCCTAGGTTTTAGAAGCTGTGATGGAATACATTGTAATGCATGGTATATCCAAATCTGTGTTGTAACAAACTATAATATAATAATTTATAATTTAAGTATTTTTTACCATTAAATCAAAACCAGATGTCTTAATGGGTGATAATACTGAAGGCATACGTGTGCAGCATAATATGATTGAAAGAATATGGGCATTTTAAATTTAAAATTTGCAGTCTTGGACTTTTAAGAAGTTATAAAAGTAATACCTAATATGGGCGCCTGGGTGGCTCAGTCGTTAAGCATCTGCCTTCAGCTCAGGTCATGATCCCAGGGTCCTGGGATCGAGCCCCACATAGGGCTCCCTGCTTGGCGGGAAGCCTGCTTCTCCCCCTCCTACTCCCCCTGCTTGTGTTCCTGCTCTCGCTGTCTCTCTCTGTCAAATAAATAAATAAGATCTTAAAAAAAGAAAAGTAATACCTAATGTCAAAAATTTAATGTATAAAGTAAAAATTAAGAGTTGTTCTTCATTGACCCTGCATGTTCTTCCCCTAAAAGACAACCATAGTTAGTGATTTGTGTGTATTCTTCCAAGCCCTTTTAAAGCAGTTGTAAATAAATATTATATATACATTTGTATATATATTTTAACAAAAAATAGATTCATACTTTTGGTGGTTTTTTTGTTCTTTTGAAATTTGTTTTTTTAGGTATATAAGAAATGTATGAGTGCATTCTTCTTGGGGAAGTTCTAGTGATAGAAAGAAAACAGTGACCCATACAAACTCCCTGAGTTTGAGTCATCTCATCTGTAAAACAGGAAGAAAAAAATATTCTTCATGGGGCTGTCAATTAGGATTTAATGAGATGATGTATTTAAACCCCTAGCACGGTGTCTGTTCAATAAAAGAGATGAGCTAGTTATTTTGAACATGTATCAGCTCTGGAATTTTTAATGAAGCACAATTTGGCATATAACTGTATGATCTGACAGTGATCTTTTGACTTACTTTTGTCTTCATTCAAGGCCCTGTAAAAAAGAAAAGGTCTTAGATATTTTCCTTCATAGCTTTGTGTGCTATCAATATGAGTTTAGTTTAATAGCAGAGGTCTTTTTTCCTTCTTTATTAATTATTTACATTATTCTTCCCCTCGTTCCCCTCAAGCTATTAATCAGTTCATTGTTTTCAAACCAAAATGTGCCTCCTTCACAATTTCTGCTAGCTTCATATACTGTCTGTATTAATTATATTCTTAATATTTTCTTTCAGATTGCCCCACTAAACAGGTGTAACAAATGAAATGCCACCGTGAACCTTGGTTTCTGGACCAGATATTGGGGGATAAGTAGATAATTTAAATTTGGACCAAATCTTAGGGGAAATTAAGGCATTGATATTCTTCATATAATAATGGCATTTTGGTTGTCTGAGATCATGTCCTTATAAGTTAGGGTATGCCTTCTGAAATATCTAATGGTGAAGTGTCATGCTGATGCAACTTACTTTTAAATGGTTCAACAACAGCTATGTGTGTATGTATGTATGAATAGAGTGGATCTAGGTGAAGGGTATACAAGCATTGATTGTACTACTTCAACTTTTCTGTAGGCTCGAAATTTTTTCAATATGTAAATTTGGAAAAATAAATGTAATTAGAATACTTACTAAAAATTAAATCACCTCACTTTCTTTACTTTAATAGATCTACTGAAAAAGGAAACTCTATTATTACCATTAGTAGAAAACAAGCATTCCTTGTCATAAATAGAAGGTAACTGTAAAATTTACTTTCAAAAGTTTTCTTAAAATGTGGCTGGATACTTTTTTCTGCCAAGGCTCTCAGCCTGAGGCCTGCTCTCTGAAAGGAACATTAGCAAACATTACAGAGGTGTTAAAGACATATTAACACCAAACTGAGACTTTCTCCTTGACTTAATGAGAGAGTATGAAAGAAAATTGAAAAGGGAACAGCTTTATCACTCTCTGTGATTCAGGTCACCTCAAAGCATCACCATGCTTGGGAAATACTGCCTCCATTGATATAAGTGTCGTGTGTTAGGGGGAAAATAAACTTCTATATTGAATTCTGTTTATAATGCTCTTCTGTGTTGATTATCATTATCATTTGGTAGTTTTGATCAGTACAGATGAATGTTTAGCTGAATGGTGGTATCCTGGCTAAAGGCAGATGTCAGGTTTTGCAGTCTAAATTGTCACTGGTTATTTGCTCTGAAGTTGCTCTTGTGGTTGGGGTTTTGCTGGTTCTTTTCTCCCTCCCTGTCTACCTCCTTCCCTCCTTTCCTTTTCTCTTTTTTTCTTTTCTTTTCTTTCTTTCTTTCTTTCTTTCTTTCTTTCTTTCTTTCTTTCTTTCTTTCTTTCTTTCTTTCTTTCTTTCTTTTCTTTCTTTCCTTTTTCTTCTTTCCTGCTATATTGTTCCTGCTGTTATTTGGAAGCCACTAGGTTGCTTTGCCTCTTGAACAATGAAAGGCTCCAGATCGAGTCTGCCTCACATTTTGTTATCCCAGTACAAGACTCAATTGAATAAAACATATTACCCATCTGGCCTGGAAATCTCAGTGGCACTCAAAATAACTTACTAACAAGTTGTTGGATCATGATATCTTGATTTTCTGAAAGTTCAGCTTCTTTTTAGCTGTTGCTAAGAGAAATTTCATTGACATGAGGGACACGAGGACATGTCTGCATGCTGCCAGTTGTTTTATAGGCATTTGGCTCTGCCGCCTTGCAGATGGTTAGACTCTGGGTGGTGGGTAAATGTGTGCTGATTATCTTATTGAATTAAGGTAACCTTTTGTCGTTCATTGAATTCTGCAGACCAGTTGGTCAGTGAGCAGCTGCTCTGTGTGGCTTGGTTTGAGTTTTGAAGTACACAAAGACTATCTTAAAGAGTGGTCAGTCTAATCCAGGTATTCAACAAAGCAATAGTGAGCGCCTTCTTCTCTTTTGACACTGTTTTCTGTTCTGAGGAAGTGAATAAACAAAAACGTTTTTACTTTTTGCTCAATTAACTAAATGATTAATGTTTTTTGTGTTTGGCCGAATGCTTCAGAATTTTTTTACCTGATGTTTTAAGTTGAAGAAAATACCCTAATATTTGATGTTAGAAGCATTCTAATTTAATGGCAGAGTCTGTGTTTGAAGATGCATGATAGAATGATAGACTGATGGAATTGTTGTTTTTTAAGTTTATTTTCACAAATAGTCTAGAAACTAAAGCATGCCTTAATGATGTCATTTCTTGGCAAATTCCAGCTGTGTAAATTACCCTATTTTTATATGGATTCTACCTCAATTGCTGGAAACTGTTTCAGGAGGCTTCTTCTTTTCTTTTTAGAGTAAATGTGGGGCTCGAACTCATGACCCCAAGATCAAGAGTTGCATGTTCTACTGACTCAACCAGTCAGCTGCCCCAGGAGGCTTCATTTTTAATAAAGGCGTCCTTAATTGTTTTTAGTAAATTGCTGAAATTTGGGGCTCATTTCTCCTTTAGGAGAATTTTTTCTTGGACTGATCTTTTTGGTTTTACTCAGGATACAGTGTAGGTGTCCTCAGAGAAAATGAATGCAGCCACTCATTGATTTACTTACTGTCAGAGAGAAATCATTTAATAGTGATTGGTGAGGAGCCATCTGATTTCTCTGGTTTGCTCATCTGTTGGGCCTAGGAGACTTTTGATTCAGAGCCCACTTTCTCATTTGGATTGATACGCGAGTGATGATCATAATGCCTATCAACATTTAGTAAGCACATATTCTGTGCTGGGCACTGGACTGAACTCTCTATGTTCTTTCGTTCTATCCTCAGTAACTTTATGAGGCAGGTCTTATTAGCTCCATCTCAGAGATGACAAAACAGCCTCCCAGGGGAGGGTAAGTAACTTGTCCAGTATCACACAGCTAATTAGAGCCTGGGCCATATTGGAGTCCAAGGTTCTTAGCCTCCAAGGCTCATATTCTGTTCTGCCCTGCTGTTGTTGTTTTAAAGATTTATATACGTATTTGAGAGAGAGAGAGAGAGAGGTGGTGGGGGGTGGGCAGAGGGAGAGGGAGAGAGAGAATCTCAAACAGACTCCCCACTGAGCTGAAATTAGGATGCTCAACTGACTGAACCACCCAGGCGCCCCTGCCCTACTGTTGTTTTAATGAAGATCAGTGTTGTTACTGAGCTAGTTTTTTGGTCAAGCTTAAACTGAAAGTTCTCTTTTAGGGTTTCAGATTCTGTGTCGATGCTTGTCACAATTATGATAAAAATAATATAACAGGTTGTATTAGAAAACTTTTTTGAAGTGTGAACACTGTCCATAATCTTAGCACCCTAACACAACTATTTTGTTTTTGGTTTTCTCTTCCAGATTTGTCTATGTGCATGTCCTTTTCCATAACTATAATCAGAGCATATCTGCAACTGTCTTCTGCTTTTGAAAAAACACTTATTTCATAAATATTTTCCATTTTATTTTATTTCTAGAGTTTATTTATTTAAGTAATCTCTGTACCCAACATGGGGCTCAAACTCACGACCCCGAGATCAAGAGTCACATGCTCTTCCGACTGAGCCAGCCAGGTGCGCCAGTATTTTCCATTTTAAATGTCATTCTTTAAAAAGGCTTTTCCTAATCTTTTGAACCTCCCATCTAAATGAAGTCTCTTTAGTAAGTCCAACGACGTGCCCTATACTTTTTCTTATTAGCCCTTTTTATTGTCTATAATTATGTATTTATTTGTCTCGTTACTTTTTAACTTTAGTCGTCCCCTCCAGATGGAAAAGCTCCACAAACACAGAGACCTTATCTCTTTGCTCACCTTTGTTGAATGAGTGCAAGTAGTTACATTATTTATTAGCCAAAATTAGGTTTCCGTTTGTCTCTTAACTCCAGCACAGAAACACACAATCTGTCCAGAAACTGTTGGACAGATTTTCACCAAACTTGGAGGGTTTATGGAGAGTGTGTTTAGGATGATCAGGAGACATGTGTCATATGTTTCCTGATCCTGTGTTAGAGGTACTATAGAGACATTTTAAATGTGAGACCTAAATTGAAAGTCCTAAGGGCAGGTTATTGGAATGGTAGACCTTGGTTTGCATATCACAGTTGAAAGCTTCTCACTTGGAGGATGAGAAGCAGCAAGAATGTATTTAATGATGACCAGCGGATCTCCCTATCAGATACCAGCCAGTTTCAAATAGATCCATTTGATCTCTTCATTTTCATTTTGCTTGTTTGAACTTAAATTATCTATTGAAAGAGATTATTTTAATTGCCATTTCTCTCCCGCGAAACACTTTTATGAGCTAATGAAACAAATTAAACAATTGCAAATGTTTGTAGTATAAAAGACATTAGGATTTGTCACTATTTGAGACTAGAATTTGGTTGAAGGAAGAGACTGTGTTACACGTAACCCTGTGGGATATATAGTGATTCGGAAGGTCTAAAATAAATCAGATACTTCAGGTGTGTAAGAAAGCTAACTGCCTGGAATTATAAAAATCTTACTAGGATAATGTGTACATATCTGCAGATGGAAAAAAAATAGGAAGAGTCAAATTAAAACAAAGTCATATTTAATATTTGACATTTAAAAGAATAGTTTTGAATTGAGGGGGTGGAAGATCAGCGTTTGAATCTTTGGAGAACAAATGGAAACAGGAGTTAATTTCAATCACCCCTCACTTTAATTCTGCAGGCTTTGTACCATGTACCCTCTGCTGCCAAGGTCTGCTTATTTCTTCTGTAAGCTCATCCTTCTCCTCCTGCCCCCGTGGAGTTTTCCACAGTCCGTCCTCTCTCCTTTGTACTGCCCCATGCCATGATCCGCGTAGCAAATACTATATATATATTCTTTGTGTATTTTGGATGCTGACACTTTGTCAGATATGTCATTTGCAAATATCTTCTCCCATTCAGTAAGTTCCCTTTAGTTGTTGTTTCCTTTGCTGTGCAGAAGCTTTTTATTTTGATGAAGTCTCAATATTTTATTTTTGCTTTTGTTTCCCTTGCCTCAGGATACCTATCTAGAAAAAAGTTGCTAGGGCTGATGTTAGAGAAGGTACTGCCTGTACTCTCTTCTAGGATTTTTATGGTTTTAGGTCTCATATTTAGCTCTTTAATCATTTTGAACTTATTTTTGTCAATGGTATAAGAAAGTGCTCCACTTTCGTTCTTTTGCTTGTAGCTGTCCAGTTTTCCCAACACCATGTGTTAAAGAGCCTGTCTTTTCCCATTGGATATTCTTTCCTGCTTTGTTGAAGATTAATTGGCCATATAATTGTGAGTTTATTTCTGGGTTTTCTATTCTGTTCCATTGATTTATGTGTCTGTTTTTATGCCAGTACCGTACTGTTTTGATTACTACAGCTTTGTAATATAACTTGAAGTCTGGAATTGAGATGCCTCCAGCTTTGCTTTTCTTTTTCAAGATTGCTTTTGCTATTCAGGGTCATTTGTGTTCCATGCAAATTTTAGGATTCTGTGAAAAATGCTGTTGGTATTTTGATAGGGATCACATTATATCTATAGATTGCTTTGGGTAGTATGAACATTTTAACAATATTTCTTCTTCCAATCTGTGAGCATGGAATGTCTTTCCATTTTTTTGTGTCGTCTTCTATTTCTTTCATCAGTGTTTTACAGTTTTTAGAGTATAGGTCTTTCACCCTT